TATACATTTTTAGTTGTCCAATTAATTTCTTTCGATTTTTAGTAGAGACGGGGTCTCGCTCTTGCTCAGGCTGGTTTCGAACTCCTGAACTCAAACAATCCGCCCGCCTCGGCCTCCCAGAGAGCTAGGATTACAGGCGTGAGCCACTGCGCCCAGCCCAAATTTTTCTTAAAACAAAAGCCATGCTAATGGCAGCCATGGGTGAACAGGAAAGCTAAAGATAATAATGCTTTTGCTATCTGCTATGTACACACAGGTAGAGAAGTAGTCTCCTAAACTCAAGTAGCTAATGTAGATATAACTGCCACTCAGGATTTATGAAGTTGTAAATGAAAACTATAGCTCTCCACACCTTTCCTGTTAATTCCATGAAGGTTATCTAGTAATGTATGTGAAATGCGTTAACGTGTCCAAAATTTTAAGAATGTTTAAAAACATATCTGAAAACATGAATTTTATCCAAATTAAATTCAAAATGATTTTCATTGATGAATATTTTTTCCCTTAAAGTGAGATGGTTTAAAAGATTCTTAGTACAGATGGTAAAGTCACAGGCACAACATACAGGCAAAAATCCCATTATATCAACTTTCAGGGGAACCCAAGTTTTTCTGCTGACGTAAATTCTGGAATGGTAATTAGATTACAAGAAATCATATTCCTAGTGTCAAGGGCTCTGTAGAGAACATAAAAATGGGAGGGGGAAGAGATAAGAGCATTCTGGACACACACATACTGTCATTCTGACCCTCTTCTCTTCTATGTTTTCAGTCTTTTGCTATATTTGGTTGAAATGGATGATTTGAATGTTTAGGTAGGCCTTTTCGTGACAGTTGTTGGTATGTCTGCAAGGTGTGAGAGTAGCTGAAAGGGAACTAACTGCTGCTTGACGGAATATACAGCAAAAAACTGGGTACAGCTAAAGTCTCATCACTCTGCTTATTTCAGCTCTGCTCTTTTCAGCCTTGTCTAAAAGGCAAACAGTGCATACATCGACACTTTCGACATAAGGAAAGGAAGTCTAGAAAAATTAAATTGGCATTCCTTGTAATAATAGGATCTGAAAAGCAGTATTCTCAAGAGCCAACCTCTAGAAGAGAAATACCTGTGCTTTATAAAATGTACCCTTTTACAGGTATCTACCATGTTTCACCTTTTCCCTCCTAAATCCTGGTGCAGAATAGAACATGTGAAAGAAGATTCAGTAAGTGTGTGTAGTTTCCAAGTCAGACGTAATGAAAGCTATGGAACTGTGTCTTAAAAAAACTGACATGACACACAAAATCATGCACTGTATTAATTATTAGAAGAAAGAACATGAGCCTCACGGTGCTATTAAATTGAAAAAAACTTTGCATTATGAAAAGAAAAAAAGCTAGCAACACTTGCTAAAAGCTTAAATAAAACTTAAATGACCAAGATTAAAACTAGAAAAGCTTCCAACACAAGAAATAGGCTCTCACGCATGTTCAGAAACATACCCGCCTTCTACAGAACCTATGAGGCGATCCTCCCTTAGCAATGAAGTTTATTAAAAAAAAGAGAGAGAGAGAAATCATCTAAAAACTGTAACTATTCGTTTTCCTACTCAACAAATGTAACTAAATACTAAACTTATAATCAAAATAGTTGCATTATACTAAATAGCCACATTATTTATATTAATATGTAGAAATACAGAATCTGAATCTGTACATTTCTTATCCCTAAGAGATTAGCCAGTGACAAAGATAAACTCAGCAAATAAATATATTAATATACTAAAGAATTATTTTTAATGTAATAAAATTCTATTGAAATATTTTTTCTGTAAAAATTTCTACCATTTCTTTCCTTTCCTATATGATAACTTTAATGGAAAATAACATTAGCATTCAATAGGTATTTCCAAAAAGAATATTTCTTATAAAAGATTGGAGGACAAAACAAAAATAGCTATAAATTATTCCAAAGCAAAAGTAACTATGCATAAACAAATTACTTTGATATCTTGAATATATTCAAAATTGCAATATTACAGATATATGAAAAACAGTTTATAAAAGTACATACGTACATAGAAGCATAAAATAAAGTCATATTAAGTGTAAGAATAAAGAATGTATAGTGAATCTTACCCTCTGTTCCAATGCTGACTGAGTCTGTTGTCTTAAAAGAGCTTTAAATGGCCCCCCTTCTTTTCCAGCACTACCACTTCCCATTCCTACAGAACATCAGTACATAAATAACAACCAAAAAACAACTGTAGAAACAGAAAGTTTAATTGCATTCATTGTCACAAATATCATGAGTCAAAATATGATAAAATGATCCAAAACATTTAAAGCATTTGGGATGACAGCTAAGCACATATTTTACTCTGTTTTATTCACGAAGTTTCCTTTAGAAGCAAGATATCAAAGTCCTACTGACCATAGCTAGTTTTAGAATTAATTTGTTCTAAAAATTATAAGAAAAATTATGTTAGGTGGTAAAACTTTATATAATATTCCATTTTTTAAAATTGAATCTTCTAATAAAAAATAATCAAGATAACAATCACTATGCTAACTTAAGGATACTAAAAGAAATAAGAGAAATATTAAATATTTGATTAAATGTAAATATAGAAAGGAAAAGCACTAAGCTTTTCCCTTAAAATAAAGCTCCCTTAAAATAAAGCTCCCTTAAAATATTCCAAAATTCTCTAAAGAGCATGAAATTCAGGCAATTTTGAAATATAGTCAAATCTATTTTCTGATAACTTCCCATTTCTAAATACAACATCATGGCAAAACAGTATTATTTCATACTTGTCAACACTTATTTGCAAAAATAAATTTCTTTAAAAAGACTAAAAGTCACAGACATGTAATAATAGACACATCACAAATGTACATAGTTAAGGATGAAAGAATTACACTTCCCAAACTCTTAGATGTATTTTTGAAGGCTTAATTTTAAATTTCTTTCACTACCTTATTTTTTTGATTGTACCAATAGATCAACCACAGTCAAACAATTACGGAAAGCAGGGGAGAGATGAGAAGCCAGTGCTCTACATACTAGAGTTAATCCCACCCCTTTCAAAACTGAAGATGCATACAGTCAAATTTACTGCAATGACTTAAAAAGGAACTAATTTACTTTTACATTTTTAGCTGTTCTTGGATAAGGAAACAAAGGTTAGCATGTGTATAGTCCCATTCTATTCTTTAAAAACAAAAAGAAATTCATTTTTCTTATAGTAACCTGAACATTACTTTTTAGAGACTATACAATACTAAACATAGAAATGAAACTAAGATCTTTATATGAAGGATATTAAAAGCCATAAAATAAAATGTAAATTTGTAGTGATAAGCAAAATATCAGAAAATATAGAATAATTTGATAATTAATGCAACAGACAGAAAAAAATGGATAATGAAAGAATATCACCAAAATGAGACTTAAACTGATTTAAACAGAATAATTTACTAATGTAACCATATGGTTTAGCAACATGATGATACAGGTCCAATGTGAATGGAATTGGTATGAAGGGAAAGATAGTAAAACATCTAAAACAGAAACTCTCGTAATAAGAACCTAATAATTGTTGTAAATATCCAGATCTATGTCCTTAGACATAATTTTTTAATATATAAAGTCATTTAGAAGAATATACATAATTATTCATCAAGTAATCCTCAATTATATCCTTACGAAAATTCTAATTGTTTAACTCTCTACTGGTAAGAAAAATAATAGCAATACATCCTGTAGAAAATACCCAGTAATTCTTTAGTACGAAAAATAAAGGGATTAAAAAGCTGACATAATGTGTGATCCTACCAGAAGCAGCCAGGAACAGCTCTTCACTGAAAGAAACACTTTTCCTCAGAACTGGGCTGACAAGGCTAGAATGATGAGGGGTAAGGCTAGATTCCGAGAGGAGGAGACAGGACTTTTTAAGATGAAGGGAACCACAAGAGAGAGAGGGGGAGCTGGGAAACAGGTAAATCCTAGGTCCCTGTGGGTAAGGTGCTGTGGAGGAAAGTAGCAGAGAAAAGATGCAGATTCAGAAGATGATCAGAAAATGCAGGATAAGGAAAGCAATGATGAAGCAAAACAGTAAAAATGAATTTTAAAATGTATAGACAAATTACACTAAGCAAATGAAAACTCAGTAGCAAGACCATCTATCCAACATAATGTAAATAAAAGGTATAGTCTAATACTTAACAAAATCTTTACAAACTCTGCAATCATCAGAATTTTTTAAATTCACTAACTTAGGATTTTATGCCATTCTAATCACTTAACTGACTTCTTCAAAATACTTAAATTACCTGCCCTTTTTTGCTTAAGAATTTGTAAGGTTAAAATGTACCACATTTTCAAAATTTTAAAGCCAGAAACTTGTTGGCTCAAATATAAACACTTATTTAAAGTGGTGAAAGTATAGTACTTCAAATGTTACTAACTAAAAGATAGCATTTTTAAGTATTTTAATTGAATATCCATAAAAAACAATCAAATAGTACCAGATTAAGGGACAGATATCATTATTAATTTTAAATACATATTAACTTCTTTCTGTCCACCTTTGAGATGTATATTAATACTTTTCTTTTTCCTCTAAAATTTTTAATAATTTAATCTGAGTACCCTAAGGGTCAAACACCCTCAGGATCATGAAAACTATATGTGGTTAAAAGCCTGGAAGAAAAAAAAAAAAAGCCTGACTAAAAAAGTAACAATTAGCCTCAGTCAGTATCCTAACAGTAGCAATCTACAATTCCATTCTTATTAGTTGATTACTTAGGAAAAACATAAAAATAAAGCCTTGTAAAAATTAGAATCTACAGAAATAAATAAGAATTGTTTTAAAAGAGACCTACCAAAAAAACAGACAATAGCTTTAACTATAAACAGAAAAAAGATTATCAGTCTAAGTTTTATTAACTGTATTCTATTTTTGGTTTCCCAGTCCACATATAATAAATCAATTATAATCACCTTATCTCTTCCTACTATTTCTGATGACATTGATTTTGTATATAGGTAAATTAATAGGCAGAGAATCATGAAATACATGCTAAGATTCATGATAAAGCCAAGGGACTAAAAACTGCTAATATTGTATAAATAAGCTATTGACTCAGTGAATAACCATAATTAAAACAAAATAATTTATTTAGAGGCAGTTATAAATACAGAAATGTAGGACAATAATACCTCATTTATAAATGAATTTTTAAAAACTAAAAATGTGGAGCTAGAAGATAAAATACAAAGTTTTCACTGATAATACAATTGACTGCCTACTAGAAAGCTAAGGGAAGAGAAGTCTGGTTCAGTTAATTTATTACTTGACAATCTTCTTTAGGCTTGGTCTTTTGGTGAATTAAAGAAAAAGAAATAGACCAAGGAAATACTTTCAATTTTTTATCTCTAGTATGGTAAAGAAAAATAATAGATAAGAGTACTGAAAAATGGTCTGGAATATACAGTCAGTGGACCAAAGCCTCAAAAATATTTTTTAGGACAGGTACAGTGGCTCAAACCTATAATCCCAGCACCTTGGAAGGCCTAAGTGGAAGGATCCCTGGAGGCCAAGAGTTCAAGACCAGCCTGAGCAACATAGTGAGGCCCCGTTTCTACAAAAAACCTTTTTAAGTATCCAGGCATGGTGGCATGCTCCTGTAGTCCTAGCTACTTAGAAGGCTGAGGTGAGAGGATGCCAGGAGTTCAAGGCCATAGTGAGCTATGATCTCACCACTACACTGCTGCTGGGGTGACGGAGACTCTGTCTCTAAGTGTGTGTGTGTGTGTGTGTGTGTGTGTGTGTACTCTGTCTCTAAGTGTGTACTCTGTCTCTAAGTGTGTGTATTTTTTAAACGTATTCTTCAAATACCATCCTAAATTGTCATAAATTTTAAGGCCAGAGTCTCTTATTCTTTATTTAAAAAAATTTTTTTTCACTACAATTTGAATGGTTCAATTTTTATGGCATAAATAGCGTTGATGCCACATTCCAAAGTATCCATTACTATCAAATACTACATTATTTTTAGACATTACTCACAATTATGTATATGTAAAAATAAAGCTAGTATCTTCAAAGAAACTGGTGTATATGATTATCTTCTTTATATTTTGTGATTACATTTATAAAAATAGAAATTAAATCTACAGGCTTTTTTAAAATGCCCTTTCTTTAAAAGTAGCACTGGTTTGGAATTAAATTTCTTTTCATTGTTTTCACAAACTCTAGATTTATTTTATAAATTTCTTTTCTAACATAAAAATAAAGTTATTAAAAATGATAAATTAAAAATAACACAAATAAGAACTATGTTTTACGGAAAATTGCCAGACAAAAATACTATTTATAAAACTGCAAACCATTAACTTTTAAAATTTTTTATTTATTTGTAATTTTTCTTAAAAATAATAATTTCATGATTTAAATAATTCTATTTTGAGTAAGGAACTAATTTGATTTTTTATCAACTTTTTATCATAAAACATATTCCTAAAAACCCATAAAGATTATTCATCAAAATACAAATAGGAGAGGGAAAATTATAAATTAATAAATCAAGTAAATTCAAGAATAAGTAAACTAAAAATGCTATTTTCTAACCTAGAAAATAAGATTAGGAAAACCAAACATTTTAAATAATAAGTTAATAAGTAGATAAATAGATCTATGTTTTCCAATATAACCATTTCAGTGGTTCTTAAGATTTTTTTTTCCATGACAAAACCTTAAAATTAAATTCATAAATAGGCAGAAACAAATTCAAAAATGCTTATACTCCATGACGAATCTGATTGCTAGTTACTAGTGTTATTTTCTAATCAAATGTTTTAAGATATTATTCCTCCTTAATTTTAGCATGAAATGAGAAATGTTTACACGTAAAAATAAATCTTGGACTTGATACCTACACTATGATTAAATCAATAAAATATAGATCTCCAAACAAGATAATTTCTGAACTATACAAAATTTTCATATTCTAATTGCACTAATCGCAAATGATCAATATTCACATTATCTTTAACTTAAATGCCAAAAACAGGAGGAAAGATTTGGATGGAAGGCTAATAAGAAACAGAAACAAATTTTTAAGAAAGAAAAAACAAAAGGTGGGTGGAAGCGCCTTACCAGTTTTGGGTGTCAAACTCAAATCTGTGTCAGAAGAAGAGGATTGTCGACTGTAGGACTTGGAAGGTGAAAAGGAATAAGTTTGGTTTTTCAGAGGGGTTGAGGGTCCTGATGAGTGAGTATTGGGATTGGGATCTTCATTGAAGGGAATCCTGCCAGAAGAAGGTGGAGAAATATTAAGTAATCATGTGCCAAAGGGCTTGACGGGTGGCAGCATGATCCAAACACCAGAAATGTATTGGGGCAGGGCCAGCAGTCATTTCTTAAGTGTGGAGCTGGGAATGAGGCCAAAGACAATCAATTGCTGTTTAACCATTCATCATTCTCCAGATAAATATTATCTACATTGAAACAGTTAATAAGCCAAGTGAAAAAGCAAAAAAGCATGAAATGACAGACTAAGGAGTAAAAAATATTAAAAGGAGAAATAAAAAATAAGTATATGGCAAAATATTTTCAAATAAACAATGTTTTTTTAAGTTAGAAAAGAAAAAATGATAACTACAAATGGTGTGTGTAAATATTCATAATTGGTTTTATATTTGCACACACAGGTATCTTTGAAAGAAAAAAATGTTTCCTTATCCTCTAGCATCAAGAGTGCCACAGCTAAAAACACGGCAGAGAGAAAAATGAATACAGCTACACAGAAACATTGCATTTAATGCAGAATAGTTGCTTACCTGTTTTCCAACAGCTCTCTTCCACAGAACAAAACAGAACCTACTGTATGCAACAGGTTTTATACATAAAGTTAATAAGCAAACTGGAAGCTCTGGCAACTCTTTCATTTAGAATCTAATCACCAATTTTATTTCTAAACACAGAAATAATCACAAAAATACATACTGGAGAATTCTCCGCAAAATTCACAGTTACATATGAAAGATAAGGTTCTCAGAGGATCTGTGGAAGAGACTTTGGAAGCTGGAAGAACACTTTCACTTCCACATAGTTACAGCCTCTGTGGCGGCCAAATACAGTTCTTCACTGAAGCTGGACTGCGAGTAAGAAAAGGAGGAAGCAAAGACTTGTGGTACCTGCCTACGCTACCTGCCTGCCTGCCTTGGCAGCCACTCTGCCCGTGGCTTGCCTCTCCCCATCTCTGGAGTCTGAGCAGTCTCGTACCAGTATAGATGAGAGTGGGAACAGACACAGAGAAGTTCTGAGTAAGTCGTGAGCCAGTAGTAGTGTGAATTGGGCTGTTGTGAGTCGAGCGGCATCCATGGCTTGGAGGATGAACCAGCGGAGACCTGAGGGAATTTGTGGTCAAAGCGGAAGAAAAGAAAACAACACGTACAACAGATTGCAAAGTTATGTTAAAATAATTTCAAAAGAGCTTTAGTTAGGGTAGAGAACTTATTTTCTTTAAGCCCTAGCATGCAAAAAACAAGTTAAAATTAAAAAAGAAAAGCTAAAAATTAACTTGTTAGGACACAGTTATAAAGGATGGGATTAACAAATTAGGACTGTGAATAAGAAAAATAGCAAGCAGAACAGTCAATGGAATTAAATAAGAAAAAGACTGAGATTTGGATTTTAAGTTGCTTTAACACATTTGTTATTATTTTAATCACAATAGAACTTACTATATAGTATTTATGGGGGTGGGGAGGACATCCGTAAAACTGAAAAGTCAAATATAAAGTTCTCATATTACCTTTGAAACTGAGATATGAATTGCTGATATAATTAATTATATTTTTCTATAAAGAAAGTTTAACAACTGCTTCTGTCTAGCATCTCAAGATAGGGGTTCTCAAGAATATGAAAATGATAGCATAAAGAGAAATAAGTAAACTGAATGGAAGCAGATACACACATCCCATATTTTAACACACCAAACATGCGACTTAAACCCAGGTTATGCTGGAAATAAAACAAAGCCAGGGGACACTGCTTTTAAAAACACATTAACGAAGCAATGTAAATAATTTTGTCTGGCTCTCATACAGAATATATTATGTAAACTACATTGAGAATTAAAATTTCGTAAGATATTAACTTACATCCTACAACAGATCACATCTGTGTGTGGATATAGATATACTTAGATCAGATATACAAGTGTATAGTCACATATAACATTTAAAATTTTCAAGAATAAATCTGGCTAAAAGGATTACACTGAATAGAGTAAAAAGGTACATTACATAAATAAGAATCTTGAACTTCACATTAACAATTATTTCACTGTACAATGTCTTTGCTTACACACAATGAGGGAAATAGAATCATATATGAGAACACTCTGAAAAACAATCATATCCCCATTTTCTAGAATCCAAGTTAAAGGAAGGCCAAGAGCCCAACTTTTCCTGATCTTTTTTTCTTTTCTATTGCTATACTATTGACTGCCCAGACAACATTACCTCAACCATGATTTGTGAAGGTTTAAACATGAGCTATCATTAATTGACCATAATGGTCTTTCCTAGGGTCTATAGCCTACTTTCTGAAAATATTGCTAATTTTACAATAGGACAAATGTTTCTGCTTTTTGCTGCAATATAAATTAAAATAATTAAAATAAATGTTTATTAAAACTGATAAAAAGCAAACATCTCATTGGTGATCTATTTGTATACAAACGAGTGAGGTTTTGTTTTTGTTTATTTCTAGGCTGAAGTGAGAAAAAGTCTAAGAATTCTTAGACTGAAAAGTCTAAGAATCAGTGCTGTACACAGGAGAATTTATAGCTAAAGTCTCTTAAAAAGCACTTTTTTTAAGTAGAAAAGCAATAAATCATATTTCAAAGGACTTTCTACCAAGAGAGTTCAGCTAGAAAACATCAAAAGGATTTATATTGTGCATTACACTAAAAATATGAAAGGAAAAAAACGAACTAATAAAGTGGAAAACACCATTAACAGAAGTAAAATGAGTAAGATAAAATGAACATTGTAAAATGTTCAAATTATGACATCAAATTAAAATTCAAATACACTGGAGCATCACCATAATGTATTCTTGGGAGTTCTACTTGTATCAGTCTCCTTTCATGAAAGGCTGTCTCACAATAACACCCTTGTGGTATTTCTAATATTAAATCCATTCAGACAGGAATGTAATCTAAACTATCTTTTAGTAAGTTCCTATCTAGAATCAACAATGTTATGTGATAATTAAATACCACAATAGTTATAATCAGCTGAATCATAAAATAAGCTATGAAATAGCACTCAAATTGAATCGTTATCAAAAATACAATGAAGCTTATTGAAATAAAGCAGCCTGAGTACTGAGGGTTTTTTTTTTTTTTTTTAATAACTAGACTTCGGTAGTAATATGCTTTTCAGAAAATCCTAATGAAGCAACTTAAATCGGTCATGGTGTAAATGTTTGACAATTTAAGGCAAATGGCTAAAAGATTAGAAAAGGAGAAAACTTACACAATCCCAGGTTTACATTAATAGAACTCTTTCTGAACCCATGCAAACACATTCCCCTGCTATCCATATCTCATTCTAAGAAACCAACAGATGGGTATAGCTTTGTTTTTCTCTTTCTACTAAGTAACTACTTAAATTTGCTATTAAGTACTACTTAAATTTGCTATGCAAAGAGGGGAAAAAAAAAGATCTGCATCCCTCAAAAATCTATACCTGCAATCTGACTCGACCTATAGCAGCTAGCAATTCACATCCTTCTAGGAGATATTGTAAATGGAATGTAAAGCAAATTCACTCTTCAATTTATTTAAAACAATTATTTTATTTGTCAATGTGTTTCCAAACAAAATTAGGCAATATGTAATACTGTACTCCCTCTTGTGAATAAAATTTAATCCAAGTGACTAATAGCCAGCAGAAAGAAAATGACTAAACAAAAAGAAAAACGAAAATCTCATTTTAAGAAAGATCGTTAAAAAAAGAAACAAAAAACTTTTTTTAAAGACTATGATTAATTTATATTCAACCTCTCCTGACTGGGCTGAACTGGGAAACATTTTAGGTTTTCTGATTACAGAATTCTGACTCCTCGATTATCTAGAACAGGAGTCAGCAAACCTATAGACTGCAGGCCAAAACCATTCTGCCATCTGTTTTGTAAATAAACAAGTTTTATTTGAATACAGCCACACTCATTCCCTTGCATACTGTCCACACCTGTTTTCACACTATAATGGTAGAGTCATTAGTAGCTTCAGCAAAAACTAAATTATTTACCCATACCATCGGGTCATTTACAGAAAAAGTTTGCCAACCCTTGATCTAGAAGAATCTCTAGATCAATGGTCCTCAATGAGAGTACTACTGGCATTTAGGATGGAACAAGTCTTCCTGGTGTAAGGGTGTCCCTTACTGTGTAGGACACTCAGCATCTCTAGGCCCCAACAGGTCCTATCCCCCTAATCACTATCACAGAAAAATCTTGTTTCAAACATTCTGTGTTGACAGTACCACCACCATGTTGAGAATCTTGGCCTTTGCACACAACAATGACAAACACACAGGCCAAATTCAGACAACAGAAGTGTTTTGTTGAATCGCATATAGCTTTTAAAAAATGTTCAAGTCTAAATTCCTTCAGATCGGGGATCAGCAATCTCGTTTTTTTAATAAAGACAGAGACTGTATGGCCAGTATCTAAAATATTTATTATCTGGCCTTTTACAGAAAAAGTTTGCCTACTTCAACTTTACATAGACCCTAGTATTCCCTATTTAATTACACCCAATTATTTTACTTATATAAACTGCTTAGCCTCTGTAGACAATTGTGTTTGAGACTCCTGCACAAGTCAATCTTTCCTGCTTTCTACACTATGTTGCCAATAATAAGCATAATTGGATTATCTGGTAGAGGGTTTTAAGCATTCCTCAGAAAATAAGCAAAATTTCACATAATGCATGAATATGCATTTAATGCTTTTGATACAAAGTGTCTAAAGATTTGGAATAAATTTAATTTTATATTACTTAATTTGAGTTTCATATTAAGACAGTATAAATAAAACATTAGGAATATCTAAATATTTTTAAGTTTTAAAATTTGGCAGTCATCTCTAATAAGAAAAATCATCGTAGAAAATAGTGAGTGTTGAATAAGCCTACTAAAATGTTTCAAATCGAATGAAAATTCATAGGTAAAAGATAACAATCTCCATAAAAACAATTTAATTGATTCATACTTACTCCTTCATATCTTTAGATGGGGAACTACATGCAGGAAGGAATGTTGCTGGGCTACTTAATTTATCCAGAGTACACGCTGTTCCTATGGCTCGTACCACTAACCCAGACTCGCCCTCCAGATCAAAACACTGTAAGTACCCAACAACTGCATTTCCTCTCATTTCAAGTACTTTCAAGCCAATCTTTCTCTGCAGTTCACCTACAAAAAAACGAAGAAAACTCATTCTTGCTTCATATCTCTCTACAGTACATACTATAAAGCTGAATATGGTAGTGATAAAAAACAAGACAAAATATCACAGATTTTTAGAACATAAAGGGAACCTAAAAGATAATCTGGTTTAGCCTTTTACCTTCAGGAAGGTAAGATATTATTAGCTGCATTTTACAGATGTGGCAAGTTAGGTTCACTCATTCATGCATTCATTTACTAAACAATTTTTGGTTCTATATGCGCTGGTTCTCAGGGAAGAATTGTGAAAAGGCAACATTTGAACAGAAAGTATTAGAGAGAGAGGTAGGTGATTTGCCTAAGCTGACTACGAATAAATGCTAGAGGGAGGGAAACTAGAATCCAGTTTCCTGATGCTCAGGGCTCCTTCCACTACACCATTTCATGAACACATTTCCTTTTACCACCTAGTTAGAAACAAGCTCCTGATTCAGATTTCCACTTGTTTAAAAAGGGCAATGCACATGTGTGTTCAGGAGGGTGGGTCCAGGTGTAGGGAATTATTCACTTACAATTCACAGTCTTCGTTGTAAAATTTCAGATAGCATGTCAAAGAAAAGTGAAAAATTTTAAAGCAGTAACTCAATCAGTAATAAAGTTATTTTTTTTTAATACCTGACATTAGAGAAATGAGTCTCTGTCTGGCCTCATTTGATGCCCTGGGTGTGCGAATTCGATCAATCCATTGATATTCTGGGTCTTCATTGACCACAAGCTCTTCTACAAATCCATGAATTATCACAGCTCTATAGCACTTTGGAATAGATGTTGCTGTTAAAAAAATTATCTGTTATGCTTCTATTTATCAAAAGGTAAAATTCAATTTCTAGAAAATGTACCTCTAAGTTCTTATCTTTTAAATACATAAGAATGTCTTTTACTATGATCATCTCAATGTAATTATAATAACAATACTCCTAATCAGTCTTCTAAGATCCATTTTATTCTTAGAAATAATCATTTTCTTTCATGAGGGCTCTCACCTTTATCATGTAAGCATAGTAAATAAAAATTGTATTTTTATAATTTGAAAAATAGCTATAGACTACCTTAAATAGCATTCAATACCAAGTTTTAAAAAAATCAAAATTAAAATCAGCTAGATTATGGAAATAGGTAGAAAGCAAAAAATAAATAAATAAATCTTTAATTATTCAAAGCCCTTTGCAAAAGTACTTCTTACACTGCATACTATAACCTCAAAAATCAAACCATTACCTTTCTGACACAACTTGAGGAGTCACACAGCTCTGCAGTTTGTAATAATCCACAGTCATAGGCTGACTGGTTCAGTAGTCACTACACTACTTAATAAACTCATTTAATATGACTCATTAAAAAATAAAACTCATACAGTCTAAATACCATTGGATTTAAATAAAATATGTTCAGATTCAAAAAGGGGGTTGGGTGTGGTTGCTCACACTTGTAATACTAGCACTTTGAGAGGCTGAGGCGGGAGGACTGCTTAAGGCCAGCAGTTCGACACCAGCCTAAGTAAGAGTAAGACCCTGTCTCTACAAAAAATAGAAAAATTAGCTGGGATAGCCAGGCGTGGTGGCACATGCCTGAAGTCCCAGCTACTGGAGGGGTGGGGGGCTGCAGCAGGAGGATTGCTTGAGCCCAGGAGTTTGAGGTTGCACTGAGCTACGATGATACCACTGTACCCTAGCCTGGGCAACAGAGTGAGATTCTGTCTCAAAAAAAAGGAAAACCTGAGAACATCTATACCATCTATATCAAACTAGTCTCTTAAAAGAGACATTCATACATTGACGCTAACTCAACTACCTAGAGGTTTTCAATCTTACTAATAGAGGCTGGATGTGAGTCAACCAAACCTGCCCAGTTCAGACCCATGCATTTCATGGAATTCTCAGGGCTCCCTACCTGTAAAAGCCTGTGTAATCTGGGGTAGCATCACTGTGCTTAGCTACAATGGTCTACTCCTATCTTTCACTGTCCTGTAAGGTATCACTAGATTTTTCTAACAAAAATTTCCATAAACTTACTAAAATTAGATACCATTTTCTTTCAACTCAGATAAACAGTCTCAGAGCTACTGTAATTGTGTCTAGAAAACTGACAATTTTCCCTTCGGCATTTTAAAACCTTTTCTATTAGCCTTCTGAAATATTAATTTGATTTCCCATATTTAACAATTATCAAATTTTCTGTTAAATGAGTGATACAATGTATTTACTTACTGCAAAAGAATTTGACTCCACATGATGACTGCCTAAACCGATTTAAATCATTGAAGAGGTCTACTTTAACAACTACATTGATTTCTCCACGGATACCTATAAATTCAAAAGAAAATCAAGTTTCTACCTTAAGAAAATAATATACAATTAAATAATGAAGCAAATAAATGCCAATTAATGATTTTAAAATACAGACAATCCCTGTCTTAGAATGATTCAACTTATAATTTTTCAACTTTACAATGGTGCAAAACCATTTTGCTTTTCACTTTCAGTACAGTGTTCAATAAATTACAGGAGATATTCAATATTTTCTTATAAAATAGGCTTTGTGTTAGATAATTTTACCCAACTGTAGGCTAACGTATTAGTAAGTGTCCTGAGCACGTTTAAGGTTGGCTAGGCTAAGCTATGGTGTTTGGTAGATTAGGTGTATGAGATGCGTTTTCAACTTAATGATATTTTCAACTTAATATGGGTTTATCAGGACATAACCCCATCATAAGTCATGGAGCATCTGTAATATATCCATCATAATAGTAATGTTAACTTTGTTTCCTAATCATTTTCATTCTCAGTAGTTTTTTAATTGCATTTTCTAAAGCAGAACATGTATGAAGTAGAGAATGATTTTCATTTTTGCCACAAGTCTCCATTTATTTGAGCCAAACTAACCGGAATGGAGTCACACTTAAATTGATGATGATGATGATGATGATGATGGTGATAATATTTGCTGGGCACTGATACATAACATACTCAATGCTTTACATATCCCATCGATCCAAGAAGGTAATTTCTGTAGTAGTATCATCGTTTTACAAAAGAAGAGATTAATATTTAATTAATAAAAGTTAAATAATTTATGTAGTGTCAGTAGCTGATAAATGGCAGAGCCAGGATTAAAATTCAGATCTTTATGATCCCAGAGTAAATACTCTGAACAATTAATGCAAGAATCTGATTTAACAAAAAAGTTGTTTTATTCATTTCAATGTATACAAGTTAAAATGAGCTAACTAAAACATTCCAAGAATAACAGTTTTCAGAACACATTCTAATAAATAAGAATGATCCAGCCCTTATCTCTAAATATTTTCATTTGACTGTCCTGAATTCATGTCAAATTTATATTTATGGTGGAAGAACTAAGAAAAGTGACT